CGTATATCTAAGCGGGGTTACCGCGGCTTCTTTTGAACGCAACACATCCACCTACGGAAGATCCGAGACCAAGCTAATCAAGCCTACCGCGCGCTGGGGTCGTGAAACAGGCCGTGAGTGGCACGCAGAACGCAGCAGGAGTGTGGACAGTGGGATCATGCTTCGCAATCAAAAAATTCCCGCTGTCAAGGTTACTGTTGGGACCACCCCGGTGGTGTAGTAATGGGCCGGTAGGCCCATGTCGGTCGGACTATTGAGTAGTACTCTACTGGGCTCCTTACTTCCACCCAGTTTTCCTCCGTGGTTCTGGCTTTCTCCCCACGCGGTAGCGCTGTGGGAGAAACTTCTGTCAACTAGTTCCAGATCGACGAAGACGACAACGGTGGTAAAATGCAACGACTGGCCCTTGAAACCACACAATAAAGCTATATTCTCCTAATTTCATCGGCAACCATTGAGAGAGATGCAAAAGAACCATCAAGCTACCAGGGCCAACGACATCTAAGTATAAACCACTCGGATGGATTTGAGAGTTTCGCGTCTACACCAAGGTAGTCTAAGGTCCCCTACTAACCCAAAGTGCGCCATTGCGTAGTTACGGTGAAAAAAATATATCTACGGTCAACTCGCGGATCCTGGAGCGTTGATTCGAGTAGTTTAAGGGCTACCTCAGTTGAAAATCTACAATCAACAGGCTTTCCGGAGTGCATACCGCTCCTGATTTCGATCGTGCACAGGTTCCGCAGAAAACAGTGTAAGTGTTGAAACAAATGCTGAGCCTTTTCTAGCCAAAATCTAACAACACTGCGGCCCCCAGTACACGGACAGAGAAAAACTTCGCAGGTTTCTAATTACATAATCATTCCTCACTTAAACACGCACACAGAGGAGACTGACAAATCTGCGGCAATAACGGAAAAATCTCCCTTCTCAGTGTCAATGGCAGAATTTATGTTCGAGCGTTACTCAGATCACCTGAATTTATATATGGCGCAAAAAACACCGCAAGAGGCAGTGTTTATTTCAGAAGAACCAAGGAACTACCGAGGGGTCGACCTCCACGACAGATTCGCCGACCTCATCAAGATCTTCGACAATGAACAGTAACGG